AATTTTCATTCCAAAGTCTCTTCGGGTGGAGGTCCTCGACTGCCTGCACTCTGCGCACCAAGGAGAAGTGGGAATGAAGAACAGTGCCAGGAACCGCTTCTTTTGGCCGGGCATGGACGCCGCGATCACGCAGAAAAGGATGCAGTGCAGAGTATGCCAAAGAATATCCCCGTCTCAGCCAGCCGAATCTCCACTCGAGTCGCCAGTCCCAGAGTTCCCGTTCGAGATGGTGTGCCTTGACTACTTTGAGATGATGGGGCACCATTACATCATCTATGTGGACCGCTACTCAGGCTGGGTCAGCATCACTCGGATGGTAGACGGCACATCAAAAACGCTGGCAACAGAAGTCCGGACATACTTCGGCCAGTGGGGGGTTCCGCAGATCATTGAAACTGATGGGGGACAGCCATTCGGCAGTGAAGAATTCCGAGCGTTCCTGAAGCGCTGGGGAGTGAAACACAGAATGTCATCGGCATATTTCCCTCAAAGCAACGGGCGTGCAGAGGTAGCTGTTAAAACGGCGAAGCGCCTTCTCCAGGAAAACACAAGTAGGTCAGGGCATTTGAACACAGATCAGGTTACCCGAGCGCTGCTCCAGTATCGTAACACGCCCGGCCGCGGGGCATCGCAGGAGAGTCCAGCACAGATCATCTTCGGCCGACCGCTCAGAGATGGCCTACCGATGCCGTCCCATGCCCGACCAGAATGGGGAAAGCTGCGGGATCTCCGCGAGCGAGGCCATTCGCGGTTGCACGCAAAGGTGACCGACAGGTGTCTGGAACCACTCAGCGTAGGGGACGTCGTGCTCGTCCAAAACCAGCACGGTCCCAAACCTACACGCTGGGATAGAACCGGACTCGTGGTGGAGACACTCGGTAATCGCCAGTACAGCATTAAGATGGACGGAAGCGGCAGAATAACTCTGCGGAATCGACGGTTCCTCAAGAAGGTGCAGCCCATGAACCCAGCTCGCACGCCGGCCACTACCGCCCGAGAGAGGGTCACAGCGGCTACTCCACGCGCCAGCGAGTCCCTGGGACGACCCACCTCTCAGCATCGTCTCACCTCTCAGTACATGTTGTCGCCTTCACCATGCCGCCCCGTGCAGAGATCAGTCAGCGACGCACCACGAGAGGTACACAACATGGAGCTGTCACAGCCACCGCCTGCGGCAAGTCGTCACGCGACTCCGCCTTTGAGCTCCAGAAGTTCCTCAACGCAGGAACAGCGGCGCGCCCCAGTCCAAGGGGTAGGTTTGGATGTCCAACCGCCAAGTTTAGGTGCACCACGACGCAGCGCACGCGCTAGAATTCCGACGCGGCGTCTGTCGATGACGCTCAGTGGACAGCGCTACACAGAAACGGAAGTTACAAGCATTGCGACCCTACGTTTCTGAAGTAGGGTCACAGGAAGGGGGAAGGGCATGAAGGATTCGTTATGTCGTCAGCATGTCCAACCGCCAAGTTTAGGTGCACCACGACGCAGCGCACGCGCTAGAATTCCGACGCGGCGTCTGTCGATGACGCTCAGTGGACAGCGCTACACAGAAACGGAAGTTACAAGCATTGCGACCCTACGTTTCTGAAGTAGGGTCACAGGAAGGGGGAAGGGCATGAAGGATTCGTTATGTCGTCAGCACGTGCGTGTTATCAAATTGCTATGAGATGACGGATGAATACAGGCCAGTGATCAACATGCATCTAACGTGTTTACAAGTATTATCTAAATACTAAATACGTTTATATCCCTCGCAGGCCTTTCCGGCCCAGTATCCTACAGTTAGGTCAAATCTGAGAAAGTCACTCAGAAAGGGCGTTAATAGGGCTATCGAATGCGCTTTTCCGCGGCGCTGTAGCTCTATTGGTTCCCGAGTTATGCGTGGGCTTCTTGGAAATTGTCGACATTCGACCTGGAAATCGGCGAAATTTTGCCTTCAATGACCTCTGGTGACCTGACCTTTGACCTGACCAAAAATTTGACCGAAGTGATTTCCTCATTATTTTTGACGCTCTTTCGAACGCCGCCTTCCGCGTATCGCTACGTGGCCCAGGAGCCGAGTTAGAAGGGGGGGGGGGGTGTTCAAACACCCCCTCCCACTATGGGACGGACGACCTCCAAAATGCCCATTAAATCAGGGAAGCCTTAAAACAATATATTTTTGGTGCTCTATGAGGTAATTTGGTGCGCTGAGTCCAATTATGATGCTTATTTCATCGTTAGATGTTAACCCGCGCCCCGTAGGGCTACCGGCGGACCCTACCACCCGTAGGGGGGGGGGGGGCGTTTCGCCCCCCCCAAGATCTCGGAAATTTACCGGCCGATTTTCAAAATTCAAACAACGTTCGATAGCCCCACCCGGGAACTACCTTGTGACCGAATTTCATTGACCTAGGTCAAACCGATGACGTCACAGGTCAGGTCAAAGGTCATATTTTCACCGTTCACAGGCATTTCAATAAATGTGTTGTGAAATCGAGTAAATTGGTAAGTTATTGAAAACCATCGATGGTACATTGTTCGTCAAACACATACTTCGCTATCTGAGGTCACTGATACCAGGTCAGGTCACAGAGGTCAGGTCACTCGGGGTCACAATATGAAAGTGTCGTGTGATACATGTTTTATGGTCCATTTTACATGACAAATGCGATTATGTAGGTCAGGCAGCCTTTGGGGTCAGTTTAGATTATGTTCCGGTGAAGGTCAGGTCAAGGTCAGGTCAAATTAATAAGGTCAAATTTCAAAGTTGATATTTTTGCATAAAATGGGTATCCATTCGATGCAGCTTGTCACGGGGAGTCCAATGGTGGTCTTTGTTTTGCTCTACGTGGTCTAGAATTGCTAAAAATTGAGTTTGAAAAATTTGACGTCATCATTTTTGAAGTTTTTTCGCTATAACTTGGCCAAAAAAGGAGATATTGATCTGAAATTTGGTATGTAGATAGAAGACGGTAGGTACTATGACATATATCTCGTTTTTTCGAAACTCAAAAAACTTTTTGGATTTTTTGGCTGATATATCCAAAAAATTGCATTTTTAATTTTGGGGGGTTAAAATACAAAAATTTCAAAATCTGAGATAGCAGTTTTGTAGCCCTGTCAATTCTACACCTTTTATGTCTTGATCATTTTTCTGTATCTTCAAAGCTGTAGGCCTACCAGCTCTTCTTGCAAAGGTCTTTTTTCGGTCGAAAATGGCAGAACATGACGTCATTCTGACGTCATTTGTGGCCAACCTGTCATAGCCTCTGGAAAAAATTTTTGGTCACAATGTGTAAAATTGATGCCCGGAGCGGTCCTGAAAGTTTGGTGGCGATATCTCCAGCCGTTTAGAAGATATCGACGGAAAAGGACAAGGGGGGCCGTTTCGGCCTCCCCTACGGGGCGCGGGTTAACTAATGGCAGTTACGCTGCATATGACGTCACTCGATTGGCGTACTATGTCATTATTTTGTGTTTGACCTGCAACAGAGGAATGTTTCGGTACTTGGAAGCATACGCGAAGATTAAGCATCTCGCGATGTGCTCTCCTACGCACTCGAATGCGAACTGAAGTCATTGTAACGTGGCAGCGACACTGAACGTGGCTTGTCACCCAAGCTGAGCATATCATCTTCACCAATTGCCGTGGCCTTCTCATAATATGACACCAAGCACCGCATTGTCCCTCGGTCATCGGAGACACGGCGGCAGGGGCGGGTGCCCGCCAGCGACAGTAGAGTCGGCCGGCCCAGCCACGTCGGCGCGGCCGCGGCCACTTGTACTCGGCGGCCGGCCGGCGTGTATACGATGACTTTGCACTGGAATATCTCAAAGAGTAGCAGATAGTAGCACGAACCCTTTGGAGATCAACTAAACAAGGTACTGGGAATTCTAAAATCGGCAAAAATGAGACGGTACTCCGTGGTACTTTTTTGTAGCCATACACTTACTTATCGATGTTCAACTGGTTACGACAGCTTTGTGGATCTTATTTCAAATGCACCAAATCTGCAAAAAAAAATCACTCGAAGACTTCGTTAACAGCTCACATGTTAGCCAATAAACAACTTGTCAACATGCTACCAGTATGCGATGAAACGATGAAAACTACCAGGCTCGGTGACCGACAGAAAACAGTCATATAAAAACGCATTTCAGTCAGTGACCGCTCCGGTTATCATATTGTCGGATTTTGAGACAGTTTTTGACGGTATTACAGATGCCTAATCAAAAAATAAATACCACCGCTGCATCCGCACGTAAATTCTACATCAGAAACCATCTTTGCAACTGCAAAAATGCAATCTTTGTTTTTCGATTAAGTGGGCATTCCGGGGGCCATCCGTCCCATAGTGCCTCCCCCAGCAGGGCGTGGAAATCCAGGACCCCCAGCCGGGCGCGGGTTAAGCTAGCTTGCAGGTAGATCGGTGACGTTTGCTGACCATATCATGGCAACCACCCGCTTGACGACTGCAGGTGCGTGCTCCGTTTTGGCCTCGCCCAGGCTGGTCAATCATGTCATACCTTGCTCTCTCTGGCTTTGCTCGCTGATGTAACTGCGCTTTGCTTACTCTTACCTGCTTGCTGATGAGCTGCTGGAGCTATCCTGAAGGAACCATGCCGAAAGTCCGTCTGCAAAGTTCAGAACTGCAGTTGATTCACCATGGTTGCCTTTTGGTGGCTTAGGCTAAAAAACGGAAAGGAACTACTATTTGTTGACTCTGTATAATAATTGACTCGAGTCGTGACCGGTCAACAAAAGCGTACTGTCTCCAAGCTCGATAGCTAAGGGGTTTCTTATAAACGTATGAAGCTTCTATCTCATTAGAATCGGGCGTAATCGTACTTTTGGCCAGAAAATAAGTGTTCGGTCAATTCTGGGACACCCTGTATGCGTCTATCTTCACCTGGCTCAGATTGAAACTCTGACTTGTCAGCTGTGTCGTTGCTGACCTGACCTGACCTGACGTACCCTGACCTGACCTGACCTGACCTGCCCTGACCTGACCTCCCAGGACCACCAGCTGGAGCGGGAGATCCGCGCCTCGGACCGCCAGAAGGCGCTCAACAAATACCGCAGCGGCCAGGTGACCCCCGAGCAGAAGAGCTACGTGTCGCGCATCACCGGCCAGCGGCGGCAGTCGACAGGTACGGGTACGGGTACGGGGCAGAGATCCACGGCCGACAGTCGACAGGTACAGGCAGGGCAGAGACTCATGTCCGGCGGTCGACAGGTACGGGTAGAGATCCGACGACAGTCGACAGGTACGGGCAGGGCAGGGATCCGCCGACAGTCGACAGGTACGGGTAGAGATCCGCCGGCAGTCGACAGGTACGGGCACTGGGGAGGGATCCGCCGACAGTCGACAGGTACCGCGGGCACTGGGGAGGGATCCGCCGACAGTCGACAGGTACGGGTAGAGATCCGCCGGCAGTCGACAGGTACGGGCACTGGGGAGGGATCCGCCGACAGTCGACAGGTACCGCGGGCACTGGGGAGGGATCCGCCGACAGTCGACAGGTACGGGTACTGGGGAGGGATCCGCCGACAGTCGACAGGTACGGGCACTGGGGAGGGATCCGCCGACAGTCGACAGGCACGGGCACTGGGGAGGGATCCACGTCCGGCAGTCGCGTACGGACAGGGTAGCGGTCCGCCGACTCGCTGCTTGGTAGCTGGTGTGGGGGGCTGCTGGTAGTGGACCTGAAAAGTGAGACCGTTTCTGATGAATGGGGGAGTGGTTTCAATCAGTCTGAAGCGAGGTTTATTTTATTGGGAGTTACGGGTATTGGGCAGCGTGGTGTTGTGAAGTCAAGCGGACCTTTTGTTCGGGCAGGTAATACTGTTGAACGTAACGTGAAGTATTTCGTGTAGAAGAGCTGGACTCGTCTTTGCTGCTCGGCCGGCGGTCCCTATGTCCTGTTCCGTCCCGACCTGCCTCCTCTGACCACGGCGACCCCTCTGACCCCGCAGAGAACATGGACCGAAAGCCCGAGGTGATAGACGATGACCGGTCGCGGGAGATCGACCTGGACAGCCTGGCGCCCAGCTACGACCTGATGCTGTTCAGGGAGGCGCAGGCGGCCGCCAGCGCCCAGATCGTGAGTGCTGGGTGCGGCGCGGGCGCACGGCGGGTGGGACGGACCGCGGGTTATAACTATGTGCGTGTTAATTGGTCGGCAGTTTGACAGTTTGTCTCTGCTGACCTCTCAAGTCGCACTAGTTAGCTTCACGCCAGTCTCACTGCTTCACAGATGTTAATTCAGCAATACTTCGCCAAGCTGCTAACCGTCCGCCCTCCGTCCCGCAGGAGGACAACCTGCGTAACCTGCCCGACACGCCGGGCCTGCACTCGATCGAGATGGGCCGCTTCGAGATGGAGGTGTGGTACCAGTCGCCGTACCCGGAGGACTCTGCGCGCGGCTCGAAAATGTTCATCTGCCAATACTGCCTCAAGTACCTGCGCTGCCGCACCTCGCTCGAGCGCCACAACGCCAAGTGTGTGTGGCGCTTCCCGCCGGGCGATGAGATTTACAGGTAGGTGGCGCTGGCGGCGGTGTCGAAGGCCGCACGGGGATAAGGGGCTCTGTGTGGCGGGGTCGGCGGTGGTTTTGGGTATGGCAAAGGGTGACTGGTGACATGAATATCATCATTCATCTTGCTTGTTTACTAGCTATTGATTGATAAGTAAGGCTTGATGTCTTAACAAAACCGTGCTAACACAGTGGAGTTTCGTTGCGCTGAGTTTTCCAAAACGCGTAAACCATGTATCTGTCTGTCGCCTGTCTGTCTTTCCGACTCTTCCACCCACTCACCCACCCACTCACCCACGCACCCACTCACCCACGCACCCACTCACCCACGCACCCACTCACCCACGCACCCACTCACCCACGCACCCACTCACCCACGCACTCACTCACTCACACACTCACTCACTCACTCACTCACTCACTCACTCACTCACTCACTCACTCACTCACTCACTCACTCACACACTCACTCACTCACACACTCACTCACTCACTCACCCTCTCACTCACTCACTCACCCTCTCACTCACGCCCTCCCTCTCTTCCACCGCCCTCAGGAAGGACGCTCTCTCGGTGTTCGAGGTGGACGGCCGCCGGTTCAAGTCCTACTGCCAGAACCTCTGTCTGCTGGCCAAGCTGTTCCTGGACAACAAGACGCTCTACTTTGATGTGGAACCGTTTCTGTTCTACGTGATGACGGTGGCTGACTCGGAGGGGTGCCACGTGGTCGGCTATTTCAGCAAGGTCAGTCCCGCGGCGGCCGGAGGGTCACAGCCCGCCCGCCGCCGGCCAGCACTAGAGAACACGTCAACAGCTGCGCAGGGGCCCCTGCAAATAACTGTGCCTTGTTGATGGCTGATGCAGTTGTCTTGCTTATAACTTCCAACAATTTTTATTGAAATTTTGTTGAGCACAAAATTCGTGATTGGTTTGGGTAAATTTTCATGACATTGAAGTCGTATGGCATATTTCTTGGACCCATTTGGCATTCTAATTGACTAGCTGTGCGGATTATTGTCAGAAGTATACTTTTGCACAAGTTAAATCGGCGATAAGCATGCAAGGGCATTGGGCATTGCACAATCTAAAACACATGTAAGAACACGTTTATTCGCTCGTCGTGTCTCTGTTCGTCACGCTTCTCTCTGTTGGCCACTTCAAACAAAGGCTGGCTAGAGATCGACTAGGCCGGCCGGCCGGCCGGCGGCGTCACCGGCAGATCTGGGCCGCGCCGGCCGGCCCTCTCGCCGTTTTTACCTGCACCGTGCAAAAACCGGGGCCGATGCATTGGGTTTTTACGTTGCGCGCGGGCCGGATGTGGTGCCAGACGGCGTTTGGGTCGGCCGGCCGGCCTGATTGGTGTGCGGAGACTGTGTGAACGGCGGGCGGCAACACCGGCCGTCGGGCGGCGTGGCGCCACAGTGAACGATCGGAGCACAATGACCGTCCGAAACTGGATATCTGCATTAAAAACATTGATGAAAAACACAACGCACGGGCTGTCATTTATTTTGTCTCCGACATTTGTAACCCTTTCCATCTGTTCTCGGAGACGAATATTGAAGAAATGTGATGCTTCGAAAAATCGAAATAGTGTTGTTCCAATTGCGCCTCCGATTGGTCAGTGTGCTTGTCTTTCATTGTCGACTCTGATCGTGGATCATAATCGTGCGTAGCTTTAAAGTGGCCTTTGGTGGGCTGTTACATTGGCTATTCATTCCCCTTTCTCATTGCTGAATGCTGGCTTGAGTCTCTCTTCTGTGGCCCGTCTGACCCCTTCAGGTGGTCTGCGTCTGACCCTGGTGGTGAGGTGCCCCGATTTACCGAGGACTCCGCTGCTCCCCGTCAGACCCGGCGCGGTGCCCCCTGTGACCCGGCGAGGTGACCCGGCGAGGGTGCCCCGCTCCCCGCCGGCGGCCACGTGGGCGGTCCGACGCCGTCTGGCTGCGGACGGGGCCGGGGCGGGGCGGCACGCGTGCTCTGTCGCCGAGGTGGCCGCCGCCCGTCCGGCGCGGTGGGCCGCCTGTGCGACACGGCGCCGCCAAGGTGACCCGACCGCCCGCCGCCCGCCGCGGTGACCTCGTGGGTAGGCGCCGAGCTTTGGTCTGCCGCTGGACGGCCAGACGTCAGCCCCGGGCGCCGCCGAGTGGTCGGGCCGGTCGGGTGCCTGACCCCGGCTAAATGAAGCCGTCAGGCTAGACCAGAGGCCCGCCGCCCGGCCGGCCAGGCACTCGAAGGGCATTATAGACATTTGAGTCATACAACATCCAACTCAGCCAGAAAACTAAGCTCCGAGACAGTGCACATTGAGCTCGCATAGTAGTTCATGACTGAATATATGAGCCTTAGTATGATTGAACTGCGCCGGCCGCCATCACCTGTCAGTAATCAGCCGGTTTGGAAGGGATGTCTAATGTCCTATATTGATGCCGTATGCTGGGATCGCCCGCTGGTCGGCGGGTGGTCAGGCAGCCTGTGAAAGGACGTGTCGGTATCGCTGTCCTTCCACCCAGTCGATTGGAAGGGAGGGTCAGTGGCCCACGGACATTGTATCCGTCTCACAGCACTGGACGGGATGGACAATGGATTAGTCAGTGTCCCCCTAATGGGTAGATAACGGATCATTATCTGTCGCACCGCTCGGCACCAGAGAGGCTGTACCTTCAGACAGCGACTGAAAGGCACTCGGCTTCGGCCTCCGACTCTGGACCATAAACCTTTCACGGCTCTGCCGCCCTGAACCAGACAGTGGCAGTTCATCACGAACTGCCGGTCTCCGAGCAGCTTGGTCGCTCCCCGCCACCTCATTATAACCGCGGACCAGCGGACACGTCCGCTCCGGGTCGGCAAAAAATGCCGACAGACATTCCAGCAGCTCGGCCGGGACGCCGAGCGGTTTGGAGAGCGTCCGTCGCCGGCCCGCAGAGCGTCCTCCGCCCTTGAACTGTCCGGCGCGGCGGGCGGCGGGTTCACGGCGGCCTTGGCGGTGTCGGACGCAGCGGAGCGGCCGCCGTCTAGCCACTGGAGCTGCTTAGCGTCCTGCGCCGCTGCCCTGGCCCGGCCGGCCGCCTGGGGTTGCCGGCCGGGCCTCGACCTATGTCAAGAGGGCCGAGCGGCGCTGGTGTGGCGACATCCCATTACTGGCGGTGGGCATTGGAGCTGCCGTTAGACTGTATGCTTGTTCATCGCAAACTTTTTGCAAAGCTGTATGAACACTAGAACACTCAAACTGACTTGATTTTGTTGATGGCTGGCTACCGCACCTTTAGCTTGTGCGGCTTCGCCAAATGACACCAGTTTTTATGAAGAATTAAGCATTCGCTGATTTCGGGTATGTCATTCTCAATCAGGGTCTCGCCGGTCGCTGTGACCTTTGCCGGCGGACATTGGGGAGAGGTGAACGAACTGGCGAGCGGGCACAATGGCGCGACAAAAAGCTGCCGCTGGTGCCGCCGCGGCAGGCCCGTTTTTGCGCGGATCTGTGCGGTGCTGGCGCGGCCTATTTGGCGGTGACGGGCCGGCTGACAGACTAAAATGGCCGCTGGCGCAGCACCGGAGCAGACTCTCGGTCCGCTCCGGGGCAGCTGTATGGGTGTAGGGCGTGGCAAAATATCAGTAGCATATAAACGTCAAATACTCAACTGAGCTGTACAGATTGGAGCGAAATTTCTGTCTGTAATGAAACATTCTGAAAACTGGAAAAGAGGTGTTTAGAAAATGGGCGGTAATGCCGCCAGAATCGACGCTCGTTGTGTGAGTAGTTGTGTCCGTCTCTCTGTCTGTCTGTTAGTCTGTCTGTATGTCTGTCTGTCTGTCTGTCTGTCTGTCTGTCTGTCTTCTGCGTGACTGGCTGCTTTTCCTCTCTGATTCCTCCCAGTCTCTCTCTCTCTCTCTCTCTCTCTCTCTCTCTCTCTCTCTCTCTCTCTCTCTCTCTCGCTCCTCCCTCTCTACCCCTCTCCCTCCCTCTCTCCGTTGTCGGCTCGGTGACCTCTGGCTGACCTTGATCCCTGGCGGCCCGACGGTCGGCGATTCTTCTCGGAATTCGGACGGACAGAGGTGGGACGCAGCCGACAGCCGGCAGCCGGCGGCTCTCGGAACTGCGCTGTCCTCGGCGTCTGCGCCGCTCTGCCCGCCGCCACTGCGTCAGACCACGCCGCCGCTGCGTCAGACCGCGCCGCCACTGCGCCGTCCCGGGGCCGCCACTGCGTCGGCCCTCTGACTACTCCGTTCCTGATCAGCGGGGTGAAATGACATTGACTAGGGCCTTACTTACAGCGCACTTCCGCCAGTCTTTGTGGCAAGTTCGGCAGACTTTTGGAGCAAGCACACGATCGCGAGTTTCATCTTCCAATGCTTTCGATATGACTTGGACTGAAACAATATTTGTGTGAGGTAAGAATTAATTCATGTTTGGAAATATGCGGACAAAGAGATGAGACATGTGGATAAGGACTGGGTGATACGGGAAGAGAGACTCGCCCGTCATGCAGGGCGGTGGCGGCGGGCGGGCAGGTCCGGGCCCGGACGGTGGCGGCGGGCGGGCAGGTCCGGTCCCGGACGGAGGCGGCGGGCGGGCAGGGCCGGTCCCGGGCGGTGGCGGGTGGGTCGTCGATCGTGGGAGAGCGGCGGCGGAGGCGGCGGCGCGGCCGCAGGCACGTCCGCCGTCTGACGGCCGGGCCGGCACGTCCTGTCTGGGGCGTCTGCACCGTCCGATGACTGTCTGGGTCGTCTGCACCGTCTGATGTCTGTCTGTCTGGGTCGGCTGTCCTCTGTCTGCACCGGCTGTCCGCCAGCTGAGGACTGTCTGCTGTCTGCTGCCCTCACAGGCTGGCTGTCCGCTGTCCAGCCTCCGACAACTATGCTGTCTGGGTCGGCTGTCTGGGGCCTGGCTTCCAATGCTGGTGTGCGCCGGCTGTTGTGCCTCGTTGGTTCTGGTCTGTTTCTTCCGCCGATCCCGGACGGTACTACTACTTACCTCAGCCGCTAGATTGTGAACCTCACACGAACACCTGTCGATTGCTGATGTAGTTCGGAGGCCGTCCTCCGCCGCAGTCCGTCTCCCGTGTGAGGCGCAGGCGGCGCTCCGGTTCCACGGCCTCAGACCGGACCCGGATAGAACGGCTACAGACCCACAGCTCTCTGCCAGACCCGGATCACAGGCAGACCCGGAGAGTCACAGACCCTCCCCAGACCGTGCCGGGCTCCGATGGACCCGGATCACAGGCAGACCCGGAGTGTCACAGACCCTCCCCAGACCGTGCCGGGCCCCGATGGACCCGGATCTAACGCCGCTCGCCCGAACCACAGCTCGCCAATAAAGGGTGTGAATTAGACAGCGGCCGTTCCACCGGTGACCACGCCGGCGGAGCGGAGCCAGACACAGGAAATGCCCCAGCCCCTGCTCCGGATATACATGTGCCTTTGTGGGTTATGTGCATAAATGCATATTTGATAAAATCGATAAATATATTTATTAACGCTGAATGATAAGAAGATAGTGCATCAAATGGCTGGCGGTCTGTCTATCAGTCTGTCTCTCTGTCTGTCTGTCTGTCTGTTGTATGTTATAGGGCCTTGGCTGTCTGTATGATAATGTGTGGCAGCAGCCCGTCTAGCTCAAGCCACTGTTCCAGTATGCTCTGAGCATCGATATTTGCCTTATCAAAGTGCTGGAGTAATGCCGGAGATACTGGCTTTTGATGATTGGACAAACTCCTGGCCTCCTAGCCATGACCCGAGCTGTC